CCAATAATCTCATAATTAGGGAGATGGCTTTCAAAGTATTCTTACAAGTCAATCTGTTGTTTGATTAGCTAGCATAAATTTTTATCGACTAGCTAGTTAAACATGATATGATCTTAGTATTTTATAATCATTGAAAGAATCAGATTAATGATCTTTTATTGATGATTTTTAATTGAAAAGTCCAATGGGCTTTCCCCACCAAGCATTTTCTAACAAATAAGAATTGGTAGTGATTACTTATCTTTTATTGATAACTATTTTAGAAGGATCTCAAGAGCAATCAAGTTATTTTAAAATAATCCAAATACTGTTCCAAATCCAGCAACAAATTTTAAGTATTTATTGACGTTTTAAGTCAGTTCTAAGATGATTTCTTCATTGCTTTGACCTATAATAATCCTAAAATCTTTGATGGTCTGATCAGTAATATCTATATCAAAATATCCAACTTATTACTGTTCACCTTTGATATAAATCTTAACTGCACTTGAATCTATAATTATTTTGTAAGCTAGATCAAAATGAAAAGCTGGATAAACAGGTTATATTAAATGTTCCTCACCAAACAACTCTTGGAATGAGTTAATGTTTTAGGTCATGGTATATACTTCAACTTTCTAATCTTATTCTTTTCTTTTAAAAACAGAGCAAGACTTTTGATTAAATCCTCTTTAATAACTTTCAATCATTTCTTGATTGTTAAAATTGTGGATTTATTAAATCTGAATGATTTTGTCAACGTTTTTATTCTTGAAAAATAAAATGTTTGTACCCTATTCAGAATGAATTTGAATATAGTTGTCTTTGAAAAAAATTGAGCTAAACTTCATAACACCTGATATCTCTTTCATTTGTTTTCCATTTTAAAGACTATACATTATATATCCATCTTTATATTATATCAATAGAAATCCGAGATTTTCATCTAGAATCGCCTCTCTTGGATCATTTTTTACTTCCGCTTCTGTAATTATATCAATTTAATGAAATTCTTAACTTTGCTTATCAAAATAAACAATTTTATTGCCTTATACGAAATCGAGGATGTATTATTTCTCTAGAAACCGATCATGCATAATGCAGTGATACCGTTCACCTTCAAATTTAAATCCAGACTTGTTTCTGAAATTCGTCCATATTACTCTACGATCGTTATTTATGTTATTTAGACATACGAATCTAAAATCACATTTTACTAAAATATCCTCAGCATTAATTTGATCGACTTTTTCAAAATCATCTTAGAACCTTGATTGAACTATTTAATTGAAATTTTCATAAGTAACTATCTCATCATTTGAGCGAAGATAATTTACACATTTGCTATAATGCCTATTCCATATTTATTTATTCATTCCAGAAATTAAGTCCAAAATGACTATCATTCCTTCATTTTTCTTAGAATCAAAAATTAGATAATTATTTATTATATCATTTTTTTCTCTTATATTTAACGAGAATCCTTGATTTATCACTGGAATAATATCATAACTTTACCTCATGTTTGTACTAAAGCATAAATAGCTAATCTATTCTTAGAAATTTAGATCTCTGTAGTAAAACTTATTGCTGATTGAATCTACTTCAAAAAAATTGAAGCCTTTAGTTGTGATTTATGACAATTAATCTATCAACTAAAAGGTTTTAGAATCAAAAACGAAAAGGGAAAAATCAAGTAGTTGCTATCTTCAATATCGACACAATAGTAGAATGGTGAAGCTATTGCAGCTTCTTAAGATTAAAGCCATCAAGAGTTTTATATTCGTAAATATTGAAATCTTAATCCAAAACATATTCATATAAGTCTAAATGGCGAATAGAATAATAGAAACTATCAAATTATTTGGTTAATTCAAGTGAATTTTTATCAACAAAGATAGTTTTATTATCAGTTTGATGAAATATTATATGATTGCTGAGTAGATAGCACTCCCTACTATAATTTCCAACTGTAAACTGATAGAATCTTTGACATTGACTTTTGATAAAAAATTTCTGATTTTAAATTTCTAGCTACTCATAATACTCATTATCGCCCAGAATTTTTATATCATATATGATTTTAGACTCTTAATTAATTTAGGTGAGAGAAATTCCATCTAGTTTAATTATCAATGCGAAACAGTGATAAATTATCATAATTTTGAATTCATCAATGATATATACATTTTAGACACCCCATTGTTCTTAGATTTAGAATTCTATCAAATGCATATCTTGCCTTTATTCAATAAAATCATCAAGCTTCATTAAGTATATGTAGTACCCTTCTTGATAAATTATATAATCAACTTCATTGAAAAGCCTGTGATATATTTTAGAAAACTGACTTGCTTATTTTAAGTCGATACTTTTTGAATGTTAAAAAGTGTTAAAATCGATGAAGTCTACAGACCTTTTATCCTTTTGAGAATCATAATAATATTCTACCAAAAGAAGATTTCTATGAGATATCAAAATTAGTTATATAATTGTAATTTTTTTCCCATTCTTTTCAAATATAAATGGAATGGTTTTTATTCTATTTTAAAAATTGGAGTAATCAACTTCCTTGTACTTATCTAATATCCATTGATATTCTACTGGTAATACATCTAAGCTTTTTGAATTTTCTACTATTGATTATGTATTCAATTCACCTTATAGCAAGGGCTATTAAATCTCTGACTAGCCCTTAATTTCCATATCTTTATTGATAGATTAAATTTTTATTATTAAATAGTGAATTTGAGTCTAAGTTTTAAATGATGAGTCTGACCAGAATTATTGGTATTAAAAATTTTGAGATTTTAAAATTGGTTTTGGGAAAATTAAATTTTTATTTCATTGGTGGATATTAAATTTTTTCTATTTTAACTTTAATATTAAAATTAACTCTTATGGGGTTTTGGGGTTTTGGGG